GTCCGATTTCGCCCATTTTCAATACCAACCTACCTTGGATTAAGGGAAACCTACATACCAAATTTCGTTGAGATATCTCAATTTTTGCTCGAGTTATCGTGTACACGGACAGACGGACAGACGGACAGACGGACAGACGGACGGACGGACAGACAGACAGACATGGCTTAATCGATTTCTTTTTTCATCCTGATCATTTATGTATACATTTGTCTATATCTATCTCGATTCGTTTTGGCTGTTACAAACAACCGTTATGTGAACAAAATTAATATACCCTTGTGCACAAGTGCGCTCGGGTATAAAAATAATATGTGAATAAAATTAGTAAATTTCATCCACTAACTGTATTTACATGGTCTTGTGCTAATTCTCGCATTTTTATACCCGAGCGCACTTGTGCACAAGGGTATATTAATTTTGTTCACATAACGGTTGTTTGTAACAGCGAAAACGAAAAATACTACGAAACAAAAATGCGTTCACAAAACTCTTTTCAGTCTGTCAAACAGTCTCGTAACAGCCTCGTAAACTTTAAGATTTTACGAGTTTAAGGGAATCTACTTGATATCAGTAAACTAATGGCGTTTTTTTCTCGAAAAAAATGTCACCTCCTTATATGGCAACATAAAGAGCACGCAATATGCATGTGAAGATGCTGAGGAAAGAACATGAAAACTTGACAGCCCTGGCCACGGCAGAATAAAGGCAACATTATATCGAGAAAATAAATCCCTATAAATATCATACAAAGGGCGGCATGCTCGATGGTAACTGTGGCACTGAAATCCTAACCGCAGAAGCAGTGAATGTAGTCATCAATATGATGCCCATTGAGCTATGCCTAAATGATACCACCATGTACTCAGTAGTACGATTCAGAGAGTCTGCGTTGTGGGGATCGAGGACCTTCGGGCATACTCAATCTTAAGCTCTGCCGCGATAGAAAATAAAACCACTGACTATATGGTATCAAGCCCCAATTTTTGCATGTGCGTTTTCCATCCAGAAGGGAATGGAGAAGTAGAGGGTGTATTATCTACTGAAGCCCAAGTCTAAGCTAACCAGAGAACACAAGATTAAGCCAATGTCCATCTCTTTCGTCTAGGCAGAAGGGATGCGCGTCAATGTTTTTTCCGATGCAATGCATCGTGAATCACATTGATGTTTTGAAACGTATCAGTTCAAACAACATCGATATTCGATGCGTCGTAAGAGGGAGGCCCTACCGCGATGGAAGGACCAATTGGAGAAGGACTTGGCTTCATTTGGCATTTCCAATTGGAGTCATCTGGCACAGAAGAGAAACGACTGGCGTGATTTGTTGAACTCGGCCAAAATCTGTTGGGCGGATAAAGTGCCAAATAAGAAATAGAGTAGGTTTCCTGCCTGCGAAGCAGCCCAGGACTTTTTTAAACAGACGGTGCTAGTAATGAAAGAAAACACAGCTACATATTCAGAAATTTTCAAAACATCCATGGGAAGTACTTGGTCTACAGATTTAACTCCTCCAGTGCGGTACTCACCCATTCCAGAAGCACATACATATGTAGCTGTTATGCACCAACCGTCTTATGTTGCCAACCGTCTCATTTTCGGCGGGACTGTCCCGTATTTAAGAGCTATGTCCCGGTCCCTGTACAACGCATGCCGGAACGCGAAATATCCCGCTTTTTGCAAGAAAAAGATATCTCGTTGTAAAAAACTCGAAAAATGTTTATATTTTACAAATTCTATTTACTAATCGACAGTATACGCCGTAATTTGTTTGCTACTGGGTGAAAATTTCTCAACTGGACCTCGGATTTCAGTCAAGTTCGAATTTTTGCGTGAAAATTTGTTGGTAGAGAGGTTTATAGCTGTGAAAGGGATTCTGAGAATTTTTTTGAAAAATTTTAATTTTTTAAGTTTTTATAAGCAAATATATTTTTAAGCAATCTTTTTTTCAAAGCTCATTTTCTCTTAATGTATTTGACGAAAGTTGATGAAAATTTTTGGAAGCGTAGTGACATTAGAGCTTTAAAAAACAAAAATATTTTTATAATTTAGAAAATTTTTTTTTTTTCATTTAAACATTATCGTTTATATTTTCGAAAACTGCATTTATTGAAAATATTTCTAAAAAAAAATGGTAAGGTCTTTTCTATTTTTGACTTACAGCCACAAGCGCGTACAGGAGCAACTAACAAATGGCTCATATTTGCAACTTTTAACATAACCTTATATAATAAAAATGGCATTTGTGGTATTTTTAAGGCATTTTTAGGTTAAGCTTGGTATGTGTTAAAATAATCTGATCAAGTCCATTTTTTTGGAGTTCACACGCAACTGTATGGTTCTAGCGTCATCAGTCTACCATGAGTATGTTAATTTTATGTCTAAGATTGCATAAAAATATATTTGCTTATAAAAACTTTAAAAATTGAAATAAATAAAAATAAATCTCAGAATCCCTTTCACATCTGTAAACCTCTCTACCCACAAGTTTTCACGCAAAAATTACAACTTGACTGAAATCCGAGGTCCAGTTGAGAAATTTTGACCCTACTGCGGTTTCCTGCAGACTGTTTGCACACAATTTGTGGTAACGCCGTTCAATTAGCTGATAATCGTAAAAAGTTGATTGTTTTCTTTTAAATGTGTAAACTCTGGAAAGTAGATGTAAAGAAAACTTGTTATAGTGTCCCGGTTAAAATGAGTGAATTACGCTAACCATGCCAAACGCGACTGCTTTTTTAGTGACGAATGGATTTTAAAAAAGAACTCAAGCACAAGTTTAAAGTACTTTCGATAGTTTTTTTTGGAAAAACTGTCTGAAAAAAATTATCAAAAGTCAACGCGACTTTTTACCAAATANGTTTTTTTTTTTGAAAAACTGTCTGAAAAAAATTATCAAAAGTCAACGCGACTTTTTACCAAATTTTAACTGGCACTTTGTTATACTACAGTGCCAAATTGTACGCAAATTTATTGAATATTTCAGAGTCTAGCGATTTTTATACCCGAGCGCACTTGTGCACAAGGGTATTATAACTTTGTTCACATAACGGTTGTTTGTAACAGGCAAAACGAATCGAGATAGATATAGACAAATGTATACATAAATGGTCAGGATGAAAAGAGAAATCGATTAAGCGTTGACTGTCTGTCCGTCCGTCCGTCTGTGCGCACGATAACTCGAGTAAACATTAAGATATCTTAACGAAACTTGGCGCGTGCACTTCTTTCAGGAGTAGGACGGATGGTATTGAAAATTGGCAAAATCGGACAATACCCACGCCTATCTCCCATATAACGGTAAGTTTCAGAAATACGAAAACTGCGATATTTTAGTAACTACAGTAAATTGATATTTACAATAATTTATAGACGAAAAATAAGAATATTATAAATTTTTGAAAAATGGGCGTAGCCACGCTCACTTATGGTTACATGTGTATATCTTGGTAACCGCTGCACCAATTTCTTCCAAACTTGGCACAGTTGTTGGCTTTGGTGCGGCATACCAACTGGCCGAAAATTTTTAAAATCGGACAATATCCACGCCTACATCTCATATAACGGTAATTTAGAGAAATACACAATCTTCGATAAATATTAAAGATAATTTATTAAAAATTGGTGGTTGCAACAATTCTTTACCAAAAAATACATTTATGATAAAATTTTGGAAAATGGGCGTGGCGCCGCCCACTTATGATCACATATATGTATCTCGGTAACCGTTCAACCAATTTGTACCAAACTCGGTATGGTTATTGTGCTTGCCACATAAAAGAAAAGTTGAAAATAATTGAAATCGGACTAAAATTGAGGCCGCTTTTCATATAACGGTAAATTTCAGAAATGCTTGAAACTTCAATATTTCCAAATTTAAGGACGCTAATTTACTCAAAATTGATACGCCCGGGCTTACCATGCAGCGGTACCTTTCGGAAAGGTAAAAATCATATATTTAATACTTGCGCCGGGTATTTAATGTTCGGCTCCGTCCGTAGACTTTCTTACTGGTTTTAATTGTTTTTGATGTAATGTGAACTATATTTTTATAAAAAAATAATCCATACATTGCGACCAATTCTCTGTGCCAATATTTTATTTAATAATAATAATAATAATAGATTGGCGCTTACACATATGTTAGTGCTTGGCCGAGCTTCTCCTCCGATTTGTGGCGTGCGCCTTGATGTTGTCACATAAAGCGGAGGGACCTACAGTTTTACGCCGACTCCGAACGGCGATTGTATTTTTATGAGAAGCTGTTTTTCGTGGCAGAAATACACTCGGAGGTTTGCCATTGCCCGCCGAGGGACGACCGCTGTAAGAAAAAACCTTTTTTCTATATTTTTTGCGATGTGGCTTTGACCACGTCTTGAACCCAGGCGTTGCGGAATGGGAGCGCGCACTGCTTATCACTACACCACAGCGGCCGACGTATATTTATTTAGTGCGGCTAAATTGCACTTGTTATATTAAAAACTCCACAAAAGCCAAAAATATTAAAAATCAACGCAATTTTCAGCCGCTGAAAACTTGCGCGTTATTATATTAAAAACAACAGGCTATAAAACTGCGTACCAAAAAATTCTACAAAAATTCTAATTAAAAAGTTCAACATTTTAATGAACGTTTGTTGATCTCTGTATATACTTTATAAAGTTTGAAAGTTTGATTTATATGGCTTTCATTAAAGCACGAACTATATTTTTATAAAAATATAACAAACAAATTAACTTAAAAACAAATATTAAAAAAAAACTCACAATGTACTCACTTTTGCGCCCCACTGTATATAGAAATTTACAATTTGGTGTGATTTTTATTTAGAAATTGATTTATCTTTAAGTTATTATTATTATGATAATTATCATTGAAATTTCTATATATGAAAATTTCCATGTATCTATGAAATATTATATTGTTTTGTTGTTCTAAATAAAAAAAAAATAATCAATATAAAGCATAGACATTTATTCCGTTTTATATGCTAGTTTACCTACCCTTTCATAACATTCTGTGTCCCGGTTTCGAGAATGCAGAAGTTGGCAGCCCTGCCTAGCTGGACTCACTAGGAATTCCAAAAGCTCCAGGACAATGTAGTGGAAACTGCAATCGACAGACACCCAATAATTGTGTTAGGTGATTTCAATGTTTGGGCGACGGAGTAGGGTAGTCGAAAGACCAACCAGTACGGCACTGCTGCGTTTCCCCACAGGGTACAAATAAATATGTATACATATGTACATAGAGGTACAACTATTAAAAGACGAGACATTATTATTTCCGATACATTACTAATTCCGATAAGTTGCCCTAAATATGTATATTTTTATTAATATATACATAAACATACATACGCAAAATGTACTTACCCTGCAGCGGAAAGTACTAGTACAGAACTAGTGAATTCACCAGTTTTCGGGACTCGAATACCGGTACCTCGCAAATCTACCACCCATTCTTTCTACTGTCGCATATAACATGGAGTTGTCCTCGGAGGTGAAAATTGACTCCCGCTGCGTAACTTGTTGCCTGTAAAAGTACCAGTTTGTTTTTACGTTGTGCACTTCACAGATACTTTTTCATAATTAAAAAAAAGCGAAAATAAAAATTTTATATTATATGTTCTACATAGTGAGATTTGAACTTGGGCACTTTCGGACAGCATCTTTGCGCACTCAGCTACACGCGCAACATGTAAATGTGCTTTCAAATGTTCGCTTTTAATCAAACCAGGCGACGATCCCCTGCAAAAAATTGTGACTACTCCACGCATGCATTTAAAGAGTTCTCCCTAAGGACCAAGGAGTACTCCAAAATTAACCACAATTCATATACAAAATATGATCCAATTAACATTGCAATGTCCTAAGGCAGGACCATAAAANATACAAAATATGATCCAATTAACATTGCAATGTCCTAAGGCAGGACCATATACTCCCCCTCTGCATTATATCACAGTAGCGCAAAACTACTCCAACATATTAACAATGACATTGTTGTTATATTTTTTCGTTTGTGCGTGCTTTTGTTCTTCACTTCACAGGTGCTTTTTCGAAATTAATAAAAACCAAAAGCAAAAATTAAAAATTACATGTTGCTCTGACGGCATTCGAACCCGAACATGCTGGGAGCTAACAACTAACAGCGAGCAGCTCTACACGTTCAGCTGCAGCCAGACATGCAGATGTGCTTTCAAATGCTCAACTTCAATCACGTTTCGTTAAAACACGAGCAGTAATCGGGTAACAATAAGCTGGTGCAGAGACACGAGTTGCTCCACTACAGCATGAGAGAGGAACACTTTTGTAAGTACTCCAATATACACCACATAGACTACATGGTCCAACAATTTTTGCAAGGAATTCGTTCAAATTTGTAAATTTGTATTTACTATTTCTTTTCCTGTGATCAAACGTACAAAAGCTGCATCGTGGCGTTGCCTAAATTTTCGTATTGGGCTGAACTGATTCTTGATGATAATTAAAAAAAAATTGTAATTTAAACTCGCAATATCTCACTCGTTTCTGTATCGATCGATTTGAAATTTTCATGCAATAAACTACAAGCTATTCCAAAGGATTTAAGTTTAATACCACTTATTTGTTTTCAAATGCAAAAGTTGTATTATATTAAAGTTTGAATTTTTGAGTTTTAGATGACTATCTAGGGAAGTTTTTGCGAAAGTTTTAGAATTAAACATCAAATAGTTGCAAAGTTTTAAGCAAAGTTATAACAATATTATTATGACTCGGATGGTTAGCAGATTAGCGCGCTGCGCTCTAAAAGGCTTTATAACTCGGAAAAGTAATAAATAATCCCCTCTTATTAGTGATTTATATGTAAAAAGACGTAATCTTTCGTTTGAGAAAACTAAAAACAATATTAAAAATGACCATAACTCAGAAAAGTTACAAATAAATTTTCGTTCAGAGTTTTCACCATGAAAATGGGAACATTTTGGAAAGCGCATAGTACTATCGTATAGCCTGAAAAAAATCTATAGGAATCATAGTTTTCGAATTATTTTTCTCATTCTTTCTGCTTTTCAGCTAGTCGAAAAGTAGCTTGTTTTGCACCGGTCAGGGCGCTGGGACATTTGTTGTGAATTGCCCCATTTATATAAACATATCGCTAGCTTAGAGTGAAAAGTTGCTAACTTCACTTATAATGAAAAATCATATTTTGATATAGGAGGCTAGATAAATTAATATTGCATCGTTTCGAAAAGGGTAAAGGTCCTTGTTTTATGTTTTCTCGTTTATATTCAATGAAAGGAAAATTTGCTAAGTCCAAAAAAAGCTCCGAAAATTCGATAGGGCCAAAAAAGTTCGAAATATTTTAATAAAGATCGAATCCCTCTGATTCGTATGGAAGTTTGCTTTGCTTTAAACAGGCAAAATGTTGTACTCAAAGTTTTGCGAAATACTTGAAGAAAATGGCTATACGAAGTTTTTTCCTCTCCTGTATAATTTTTAAATGGGGACTTAGCAACTTTGCACTCTACGCTAGCGATATTTGAAAAGAAACCAAAAAATTAAAAAAGTAGTAGTTATGTAAAAGTGGGTATCTACATAGGTATTGCTTTATTTTGATACTTCTCAGTTCAATATTTGCGTGGTGGTCACACGAGGGAAACAGAACATGGACAAGGATTCAGAATTTATTTGTATTTAAATGATAAATAACAAATTCCTTTATGTTATAAGGGAGCACTATCATATTAAAACGACCAATAACCTTTAGAAGGTGCAATATGTAACCAATAGCTCGATTTCTTACTACCTGTATCATAATATGCTATTGGAACTAGTAATGTAACTAGTACGAAAGCGACAATTGTAACCGACCACGCTGCAGGGTATGTATGCGGGAATGTGTAGGCTACAAATATTTGCCATAAATTTCACATCTGTGGCTGACAGCTCATTGCCTTAACGATAAACCAGCACTTAATGGCTTTGAGCGTCTACCGGAACACCGGCATCCAGCTGTGCGGTCATGCGTGGCTTACGTACATACCTACATATGTATGTATGNATGTAAATAACTCAATTATTCGATTAATTGGAAATTATGATTACTCAAAAGTTCAGTTACTCGAGGAATCAAGATTTTGATTAACCAAAAACAAAAATATTTGAGTAATTTGCTTTATGATTAATCAACATTATGAATAAAATGAGTAATCAACATTTCAAAGTACTCTTTACATACATATGTACATATAAAGCAGTTGAAGTTCCTTGATACTTTGAAGAAAACGTTTCTGCTTTCAAAAATTAAAATGAAATACATACATATATACATATTTTTTTGATATACAGAATATAAAAAAGAAAATAAGCATTTTCCAAAGCAAACTCTTTTAACGAGCAAAATTAATTTTTTTGAGTAATCATATTTCAAGTAACTCGATTAATCATCGTTTTGAGTAATCAAAATCTTGATTACTCGAGTAATTGATTAACCGAATAACTGATTAACCAACTTGCTCGAGTAATCGAATAATCGCACAGCCTTAATGCGTATACATACATATATACCTAAAACGAAGGAAATTTAATTGCAATGAATGAAAATTATACATAACGTGTGATTTAAATTTGTGGGATGAACCTTCATAGTAAATATATAGCTAGCTTAGTGTGAAAAGTTGCTAAGTCCACTTTATGCCTTCCCGTTGATACCACTGGTTTACAGCAAAAAGTTCTCCAGATGTGACTATCTAATTCCCATGTAGAAGTCCCCGGTGATTCCGAAAATCGAGATAGTTTTTTTTCTATGGATAACTTTTCGAGATATTTGCAATTTACCGCTATTCAACTTTAAAGAATAATGGTTTCACTTAATCACGTGTATCTTACGAACCAATTGAATAATCGTAATACGATATACGGGAAATGAAAGTAAATAAAATTCTCCATAAACCGTGCATACATCACTTTTTGATACCCGTGACAGTTTCTGAGAAATTAATTAATCATTTCTGACGCCTCTTGTTTTCGATCTACCTACCTTTTTACCTTTTGTTTTCGATCTACCTATCTTTCTACCTACTCAGGAGTACGTGGCGTATGAGTAACACCCTTTTCTGCTCATATTTCATACAAAAAATCCTTGCGCATTTTCATTTGACCAATCATTATTTTCTTATTTATCTATAGATTTTCTTCATTAGTAGCTTCGTTTTTTCGAGGTGAAACTTCTTTATCGGCGGTTAGTTGGTTGGGAGTAAATTGGCAATTTCAACGGAAATTGCACACGGAAATGGTGCAACGGAAATGGTTGTGGCTGAAACATTTGCTTCCTTTGTGTATGCATATGGTATTAATTTACCGAAAATTTGCTAATAAAAGGTTAAAGAATAACACTTAGAAAAACCAATACAAGAATGAAAGTAAAGGTGACTACGCACATAGATAAAGAAAAGGAGGAAGGCAAAGGTAAAAATTAAAACAAAAAACAAAGATGCGTAAAGATAAAAGCAAAAATGAAGACCAAGGCAAATTTAAAAACTTTACTTATATGTATAAGGGCAAAGGTGAAACGGAATATTCAGATGAAGAAAATTATAAACATAAAAGTAAAGACAAAGGGGAGGATGAGCATACTGAAGAAAGATGAAGATAGGGGAAGAAAGGTAATTAAACATACACTCGAATCTGGGAACTATTTTGGGATTTTATAGATTTTCATGATTCTCGGAACTTATCGATATAATAGTCGATATTTTTATCGATTTTGTTATCGAAATTTTTATCGATATTATTATCAATTTTGCTATCGATATTTTCGGAACTTATCGATTTTGATATCGATATTTATCGATTTTGCTATGGATATTTATCGACTTTGTTATCGAGTTTTATCGATTTGGTTATCGATATTTATCGATTTTGTTATCGATATTGATTGATTTTGTTATCGATATTTATCGATTTTTGTTTACCGATTTTGTTATCGACATTTCTCGATTTTGTTATCGATATTTATCGATTTTGTGATCGATATTTATCGATTTTGCTATCAATATTTATCTATTTTTATATATATATTTTTATCGATTCCGTTATCGATATTTTTATTGATTTTGTTATGTATATTGTTGTATTTTTATCGATTTTGTTATTAATATTTTTATCGGTTTTGTTACCGATAGTTGTCGATTTTGTTATCGATATTTATCGATTTTGTTATAGATATTTGTCGATTTTAATATCGATGTTTATCGATTTTGTTGTCGATATTTATCGATTTTGTTATCGGTATATGTACATATATCGATTTTGTTATCGATATTTATCGATTTTGTTATGGATGTTTTTATCGGTTTTATTATCGGTATTTTAATTGATTTTGTTATGGATATTTCTATCGATATTTTTATCGATTTTGTTATCTATATTTATCGATTTTGTTATCGATGTTTTTATCGATTTTGTTATCGATATTTATCGTTCTCGTTATAGATATTTATCGATTTTCTTATCGGTATTTGTCGGTTTTGTTATCGATATTTTTAACGATTTT